TTTGGCAAGGGGGTCCTGGTCAAGGACCTGCTGGGCTGCAGGACTGTGGATTCTCTCAGTAGGGTGGGCTTTGGCCAGGGGTCCTGGTCAAGGACCTGCTGGGCTCCAGGACTGTGGATTCTCTCAGTAGGGCGGGCATTGGCCAGGGGTCCTGGTCAAGGACCTGCTGGGACAGCACTGGGGCTGCCCCGGGTGGGCGTCTGCGGGGTGTGCCGTGTCCTGGCTATGGACGTGGCTTGCCGGTAGCATTGCTGTTCTCCTGGGTGGGCTCAGGTGTGACCAGGAGGCACTGTGCTTTGTAGGTCCTCGATGCTGTGCTGTTCCCTCAGAGTCCCTCTCTGTCTTCTCATCTGCTCTGGCCCTGCCAGGCACCCAGACATGTCCCCTTGGGCGTCTGCACCCTCCTCACTCCCGTGCCAGGGCCCTGGGTCTGCCACGGCAGCGTGGCGTGGGCAGGCCCTCCCTGTGCTGTGGCCTCGCCCCTTCCCACACCCATGTGGGGCAGCTCTGTGTGGGCTCCCGCTGCCCTGGCTCCATCGAGGGCCGCAGTGTGGTTCCCCGAGAGCTAGAAGCACCGGGGTGAGGGTGGGGGCTGAGAACCTGGCTTTCTGGAGGCTGTCACACTTGACAAAAGTTCAACTTTATGGAAAAAGAAGTAAGGCCCCTTTTCTTGCGATCCCGTTTCCGGATCCCATTTTAAGGATCCTACCTTAATCCTGATCTCCTGTCCTCGTAGCACCTGGAAGCGCCTGCGTGTGTGCTTTCGGGGCCTCTCAGTGCTGCGTTCTGGATCTGGGGGTGGGCAGGTCTGCTCTGCCCCAGCCAGGTCATCTGCCTCCATAATTGTTTGGCAAGTAGAAAGACTCTGTCTTCCTCAACCCTTAAATTGTCTTGTCTTTGATCTTGGGAAACTTTCCCTGGTCCCCTCAGCCTCTGATGCCTGCCTTGCTTTCTGGGGCATCAAGGGGACCCTCACACACCTGTGGGTTCCTGCCCCTGACCCCACATCAGCCAACCAGTGGTTTTTCAATGATTTAACTACTTACAACTTACTCATTTACTGATTTTTATTACAACAAACGCATAAAAGTTAGAAGAGCACAGTGACGCCACATCCCCTCACCCAGGCGCGCTGGTTATTAACACCCTAGCTCCCCACCTCCCCACCTTCTGGCCTCCCTGGCGCTCCCCTCTGCCAGCCGTCCAGCACTGTGCCAGCCCCAGCTGGGGATCTCCGTCATGCTGCCACACCAAGGAAGTCCGCGTTTATCGGATGTTTGATGGGGGGTGCAACACTCGGCCCTCCCCCGACCCCTGCCCTCCGGCCATCGGCAGGCCCTCCCCACCCTCTGGCTGGGCCCATGTTCCGACTGCATCCTTCAGCCCCTCCTGCCCTGACACGAGCCTGGAGCCGGTCCTTCCAGCCAGCTTCTTGCTTTTGGGACGGTGGTTGAGTCTGTGAGGTGTGAACAGCCCAGATGACGACAGAGACCGTGCAAGGGCTGACTTCCTCTCTGTGCTTCCCCAGTCCTCGCATCCACAGCTAAATGCACCGCCCTCACGGGATGTGGGGGGGTCAGAGCTCTTGAGCAACAGAGGCATTTAGCACCTCCGGTTCTGGCCGCACACAGGGTCAGCACATTTGGGGACAGGCTCGGGGCCTCCTGCCCACTGGCACTGGGCTCCACTGGCTGTTTGGGGACTGCAGTGTGTCCCCTGAGTGACAGCCCGCTTGCAGTTGGCCAGGAAGTAGACCGTATGCATATGGGCAGCGGCGGGGATGACAGCCTGGTTTTCATCTGTTCGGATGGGGCCGCACTGAGCCCCCTGTTTTGGTCGGGTTAAGCTTCCAAGCTAAAGCTCTAGGACCCTGGAGCCTCCTTATGGAACCCACCCCTTCCCTCTCGGGGTGGAGGCGGGCACCTCTGTTGGGTGCCATTTGCTGTGAATGAGATGGGTGGTGAGGAGCCAGAAGTTGCTCACGCACGCCGTTGAACGCGCCTCCGTCCACACGAGCGCGCGCAGGCGTCTGCAGTCACCGAGCGCCCCGGATGCGGTGGGAGGGGGTCAGGATGGGCTTGGTGGTTGCCCTTCTGTCGCTTTTGGTCTGGGAACCGGGACCATGACCAGCCTCAAGTTACAGACCCACAGCAGCTCCCTGGGGCGGTGGGGCGCGGGGGGCTCCTGAGCCGTGGCCCAGCCTGCACCTCCCTTGGGCTCCGCCCTAACTTCTCCTCCGTGGGATCGGCACGTCTGTCCCGTCTGCTGACTCTCCACGCAGCTCAGAGGGTGGCTTCCCTGGGTAATAAGGGGGACGCTAGCCCTTGCTGACAGCACCTACTCTCCCGCTGGGGGCCCGGTCCTCAGGCTGCCGCCCTGCTGTCCAGTAGAGACTGGGAGGCCGCAGGCGACATGGGCCAAGGCGTTGGGCACCCTGGTTCTGAGTCCTGCCTTCTGGTGGCTGGGGCGTCCACGCACATATGACCCAGGCTCTGTTCTCCACAGATTGACCGGCTAATTAATTACGGGGCTGACATCCTGAGCCCCGTGACGCTCGCTCAGGGGGACAGGATGGCTGTGGGCACGGCTGTTGACTATGGGTATTTCAAATTCTACCAGGTATGGCTCTGAGCGTCCTACTGGTGATGGGGGTAGGGGGGCTGGGGCCCCAGGTGTGTCGGGGCAAGGCTGGGCCCCAGGCCCTTCCCGCCTCTGACCGCCGCCCACCCTGGTCGGCGCCCGGCTGGCGGGGCTTCTGTCGCAGCTCTCGGAGTGCCGTTCTGTGCTGTCCTCGCCACGGGGGTGGGCTCCCCGCCTGTGTCCCTCTGGTGCTGGCCAGCCAGGTGGTGCGCTGGGGCCCTGCGGTTCCTGGTGGTGAAGGGATGCTATGCTGCAGGACCGGAAGATCGCCCACTGCCCCTTCCACATGCTGATGCCGGCCGAGCGGGAGATCTTTCTGGGCCGCAAGAGGCTCCTGGAGTACGTGGGCTTCCGGTTGCGCCGCGCGGTCTCCGCCAAGGAGAGCCAGTGGGATCCGAAGCTGCTGAACCTGAGCAAGAAAGGTGGGTGTCAGCGGCCTGGCAGGACGGACCGGCGCCATCCCTGCCTGGGAAGCTGCTGCTCTTCCCAATTGCACAGAGGGGGATTCCCACCTCCTGGAGGAGCCTCCGGGGTGTGGGCTGGTTCCGGAGGCTGTCCGGGAGGGGCGGGGCGGGGCGGGATGAGAGTGCGCTTTCCTGCCCCTGCCCAGCTCGCCCTTGTGTCCTGCCCTCCAAGGAGCTCCTGCAGGAGACATTGAGAGAGATGGGGAGGTGAGCCTCGGGAGAGAAGAAGGGCCCCAGGGCAGTCTTCAGGCCTCACTGTGGGACTATGTCCAGGAGCACTGTGTTTGCCCAGTGCCAGGGGACCCGGCACAGGCTGTCCAGCTGCCCCTGGCGGAGGGCACGACGCCTGAGGCAGGGCGAGGTTCCGGCTGAGCTGTTTAAGGCTACCATGCAGACCTCCTGCGGGAAGCAGCGGGGGCTTTGCGGCCCCAGGACTCTGCTGTGCTCTCTTGTGGTCAGGGGTCGTGGGGGCAGGTCTGCTGCTCCGTGGAAGGCCAGCAGGTGAGTGTGACTTCGGGACACTCTTGGCCTGGGGCCACAGGTTTCCGAGGTGGACTGGTCAGCTCTGGAGCAGGAGGAAGGGGGACCTGTTCTGCTCTCTGCTTGGAGAGCCACATCCTAGGGGCTGAAATGGTGACCGTGTCCCCCCACTGGTGTTGCCTGGTTTGGGAGGTGCAGCCCTGGGTCCTGAGGGCCCCACACGGGCTGGCCGAAGGGCAACACGTGGCAGAGCCAGCCTGAGGGAGCTGAGTTTTGGTGAGAGCCTGGAGGGAAGGACTGCAGGGTCATTTGACTTGGGAGACAAGCTTATGGATCCCGAGACGGATCTGGAAAACACTTAAGCACACGCAGGGAGTTTGCTTCTTAGCTGTAGTAACGACGATTCAGCTTCTGACAAGAATTGGATTTCGGGAGAAAAGCCATCAGCTGAGAGCCAAGCACGCTTCCCTGGAGAGCAGGACGCTGTGCGGGACCAGCCCCTGAGCGCCCTGGTCAGCCGTCTGAGTCTTCTCTGCATGACGGGGCATCCCCAGAAAGTACAGAGTCACCTGGGACGGTGGCCTTTGCATCCACGTCCCCAAGGGGGCTGGGGTCGTGACCTGCCAGGGGTAACACCGATCACCGCTCTGGCTGCGGTTACATAGGAGAGGCTCTCCCTCTGGATGGGGGTTGCTGGTCCTACCTAGCTCTGCCCTGGCTGCCTCACCTCTGCACCCTGGCCACCTCACGTCTGCGCCTGGCCGCCCCACCTCTGCGCCTGGCCGCCCCACCTCTGCGCCTGGCCGCCCCACCTCTGCGCCTGGCCGTCCCACCTCTGCGCCTGGCCGCCTCACCTCTGCGCCTGGCCGCCTCACCTCTGCCCTGGCCGCCTCACCTCTGCGCCTGGCCGCCTCACCTCTGCCCTGGCCGCCTCACCTCTGCGCCTGGCCGCCTCACCTCTGCGCCTGGCCGCCCCACCTCTGAGCCCTGGCCGCCCCACCTCTGCACTGGCCGCCCCACCTCTGCACTGGCCGCCTCACCTCTGCACTGGCCGCCTCACCTCTGCACTGGCCGCCTCACCTCTGCACTGGCCGCCTCACCTCTGCGCCTGGCCGTCCCACCTCTGCGCCTGGCCGTCCCACCTCTGCGCCTGGCCGTCCCACCTCTGCGCCTGGCCGCCTCACCTCTGCGCCTGGCCGCCTCACCTCTGCGCCTGGCCG